GAAGATTCCCGCGGGAATCATGATGTTGCTGAGGCCGTCAATTTTTGCAGGAAGCCTCCGCCAATCAAATTTCACCGATCGATCCAAGGTTGTAGCACAGGGCTCTCGCTAAGCTTTTTGAGTACTCTGTTTCTCCTGGAACACCCCCCCCCCCCCCCCCCCCCCCCCCCCCACGCGGTCTGTTTCGTCCGGATTCGGGGGTTCTTGATTTCTGTTTCATCCGGATTTGGGTGAAATGTTACTTTGGCCGAGTTACACGTAGGGTCTACTCGGATTGCCTGCCCAAGGTTTCCTCGCAAGTGTCACATCACTTTAGGTCAGAGATTCGACAGCCTAGATCAGCACGCGTCAGTATATGTGCTGACGTGTACTTACCTTAGCTGTCAATGACTTGGTGTCACAGAGCCAGACACTTTCTACGAATCACCCAACAGGCTAGGAAGCCTTGGGTCGAAACAGGGTAAATGTCGAGGCCAGCCCATGTTTGGCAGGGTACCTTCTCTGCCAACTCTCTCAGTGAGAATTTTCCCGAACCCCGTTCTCACCAGTGCTCTGTTAGGGGAGTGAGAAGGGTGCGGGAGAGATGTCTCGGGCTGTGAGGGAATTCGTCTAATTTTCTGGGTGGCGAGGGGTGTGGGTCGAATGTCTTTGGCTGTGAGGGACTTAGCCGGAATTTCCGAGGCTGTTGAATGTCTAGGGCTGTGTGGGACTTTAGCCAAAATTTCGAGGTTGCGAGGGGATTGGAGTAATGTCTCTGGCTGTGAGGGACTTAGTCGAAATTCCCTGGTTGGGGTAGGAGGGGAGGAATGTCTCTGTCTGTTAAGGACTTAGATTTTTTAGCCCAAGGGGGAATACATAGAATTCAGGGGGCGGAGGGGGGGGGGGGGGGGGGGGGGGGGGGGGGGGGGGGGGGGGGAGAGGGGGTTGTCCCTTTGGCGGGGTCATCTGGAATGCTTCCCAGGGCAATTCTGATTCGTCCGGAGAGCACCCTCGCCCACTTGTATAAATTCCGGGTTCTAGGGAAACATTACCCGTTCAAATTCTGGAATCCAGCCCAAAGTTACTCATAATGTTTTTTTATTCCGGGTAATTACCCTTCAAACCTGAGCCCCTCACACATCCCCCCATCACACATCGAGCAGGGGAAACATGCGGTTATTATGGCAGGGCAATCACGCCTGTTACAGATGCTACAGGTCCACTACAAAAGCAACGGCTGTACAAACAGAGTTCAGCTATGAAAAAAACATGAAATTTCAGGGTTGTGTAAAAAAAAAAATCCTAGCACATCAGGGTTGGTAAAAAAAAAACCTACGAAAAAACCCTGAATCAGGGGAATTTGCCTGAAATCTGAGGGCCTGGTTCCAGTACTCTTGCCCCCAGAAGAGACACGCACGTGCCACGCCACACTAGGTAGGTGTGACAATGCTGTTTGAAATGATAAAGGACCTAAGCACATTTCAGAAGTCTCGCGTGCTGTAACATATGCAAAGACCACAACATCGGGGAACTACGAGTCAAACCCTCCTACAGTACTGCCGACGGTTAATGCAGGTTGGCGACATCTCGCAGAGGGGAAACGGTCACAGAATGTTGACCGTGCAACCCAACAGTTAGAAGAACAAAACTCAAGTCAGCGCGACAGCAAGGACAAAATAACCGTCCCGGTATTACAGCACGGGTGGTTATCTCAGAGTAGCGAAACGACTAGAAAAGACGGTACAAGGTAGTTTTGTGCTAGGTGTTGTACTCTCTATGGGCATGCACCTAGCTAGCCTATAAACATATACAAATATATGTTGAGATGTTACCCGAGTCGCTCTTGTCGAGTCGTAAGAGGGAATGTACCCTTGGAAGTGCATAATCAATTAGACTCTCCATATTCTCCTGTATTGAGAAAGCTTGCTTTCGTTGTAGCAATGTCAACGTGCTTCATTTTATGGCATGAGAGGGTTTAGGGGTGCTATCAAAATACCATAACCAATCAGATTTCATGTGCCACGGCAAGGCAAACACTGCTGACAATTCATATACGGACATGATGCAATGTACGAGAGGAGTGAAATTATGGCAACACTTTTGCCAAGGGCTTGGCAAGTTCAAAGAATGAGTGGAAGTGCGACAATTGAGTATTAGTTGAATGATCGGCATGGGGCGCCAAACGAGCCTGTGCCAAAGCATAGAAATGAGTAGGTAGCACGAGTACCATGTGATGCAGGTACCTTGCTGGCGCAAGCCTCAACTTGTGAGATATGGGGTTTACCAGCAAATATGAAATCTGATTGCGTTGGGAATTATCTGGTACGAGGTGCAACTATATGATTTGGAACAGAGATGATTGCGATTGAGCGCATAATATGCTTCTGAGATGTGAATTATCACGTGTGGCTTTATTTAGGAGTCAGTGGTGAGACAAGGCCTCGAATTCATCGTAAGGCTGATGGGCGCTTGGTGCAAACCCTCTACGATATGTGTATGCTCCCATTGACTCTTTGACACATGGGCTATCTTAGCGTAGAACAAGTGACTAGAATGAGGTGGTACAAGGGAATATAACCTTAGGGGTCGTACTCTATATGGGCATGCACCTAGCTAGCCTATAACATATACAAATTATATGTTGACATACCCCCTAGGCTAGACAAGGGGCAGCAACTAGTACGAGACACGCAGCTCAAGGTGGCACTACTAGTCCAACCTCTGAGGCAAGGGTCTGTAGACCAGTCAGCAAGAGTACAAAATAAACAAGAGCAATCCAGGGCGGCATTACTAGTCTAGCCACTGTCTTACAGGATCAAATGTGTCGACGAAAAGTTGCACTATCGATTGATACAGGGCGCTTTTATACTTCCAAGGTGCATCTTGTAACCAAGTTTATCCCATCCAAAGGGAATAAACCCTTCTAGAAATGGAATCATCCTGCATATAGCCACGCGAGGCTATTGGTTTTAAGGGATTACGGCATGATTACGCTAGATATAGAGCGCCAGTACATCCCGAGCCTGGACGGTGATATAACTATAATAATAGGATAAACCAAAGGATAATGGAAAATTAGGAATAGGAATCCAAATGAGATGAGATAAGGACCAAATGAATAAGGAGAAAAAAGAGAACGTGATAGAAGAAAAATGTGAAAATGAGAAAGAAGTGTAATGGGGTTGTACTCCCACACTTCCCCCCCTCAAAGCTGAGTGGTAGGCGCAAAGAGGACGACGAGCGTTACCCATCTCAGATTCAGAGACCCAGCTACAGTGACAGAAACAATTGTCCGGATGTTTGGTCTTTTTGGGCATTTTGATGAGTGCAGCGGCGTTAACATTAAGCCTTAATTTATCGTGCGCATACACGTTGAGAAGATCAGTTAGAGCACTCATTCATGTCTCCAAAAACCAGAGTAGTATAGTACATGGTCCTTCAACACCTAAGCATACCATAAGAGCACATCCGGACAATTTGTACCGAGGACAGGCAGCAAACTACAAAGAAGAAAAACTAGTACCTAGTCCAGCGTCCCTTTGCGCGAATCACTGCCTTGATCCTCCTCGGCATACTGTCGATGAGGTTTGAGCACACCTCCACCGGTATCTTGTCCCATTCCTCCTGCACCCTCTCCCACAGCTCCAGCATTCCACTAGGTGGTTTTTCGTACTTCGCCAGCTGCCTTTTCAAGTGTGCCCACAGGTGCTCTATCGGGTTAAGTTCTGGGGAGGACGAGGGCCATTCCAGCACCGCATACTCCTGTTCCCCGAGCCAGTCTTGCACCAGACGGGACTTGTGCTTGGGATCATTGTCGTGCTGGAAAATGACCTCTGAGGGGGGAAGCTTGAAAAAATCGATGGTCTGTGAGAGCTCATCTTGGAAGATGCTACGATACAGCAGCCCATCCATCCTTCCATCTATCTTGCACATGAACCCCGCCCCTCATACGTCATGCAACCCCACACCATCACAGATCCACCCCCATGCTTAACTGTCTGTTGGACTTGATGGCTCTGGAGGTTGGTGCCCTCGCGAATCCAGGCGTACACACGTCCGTCGGAGCGGAAACGGTTAATCTTAGTCTCGTCAGACCAAATCATGTGCTTCCAGTCCTCCATCGTCCACTCGGCATGCGACCTCGCGAAATCGAGCCGATCACGTATGTTTTTCACAGAGAGCCTGGGTTTCTTGGGCTGCTGCACAACGATCAAACCCGCGGATCGTAACGAGTTCCTGACGGTCTTCGAGTCTACAGCCAGAGCGTGCTTCTCCTCTAACAACTTTGCGGCATCTACACTGCTTTTCACCTCCCCACTGGTAATCGCTCGAACTATTCCGCGCTGGAGGCGGGTTGTGATTAAGCGTGGGCGGTCGGTCATGGGCATCGTGGGTCGCACCTCATCGCGACTAGTCTCGGCAATCAACTTCAGACCGTAATGATGCATGATGCTCTTGCCTATGCCAAGAACTTTGGCTATTTTCCTAGTCGAATGCCCTTTGTGCAACATGCTTATGATACAACCGCGCTTCTTGTCATCTACCGGCTTCATCATGATGCGGTCGTAGGTTCGCTTCAGGACTAACTCCTAGACTAGCAACTGTTGCGCGAGACGATGTGTACCCTAAGTGATGAGCGAAAATAGATCTAGTCTGTCGCTCGGTATGAACTGTCCGGATCGACTGTCGAGGAGTAAATCTCAACCCCGCTTTTTGGTTGTGGCACAATCGCGCCAAGCAGGATACGGTTGAAACAGAACTCGACAACCTTGTAACAGGACCGGAAAAAGATGGTGTTACTACATTCAAAACATGTGAGGCATAGCGATAAGTTTCAAAGTGCTAAACATCCAGGCATTTTTTTCCGCCACTGTATCCTGAGAAGGTTCATAACCCTTCCAACGGATGAGAAGCTCCATGGTGTCATTCCGACGACGGCGGTGTGCAAGCATGGACTAAACATCGTACTCGGGTTCATTGTGGACAAGGACGGGCGGCGGCGGCGGTGGTTGGCATCCAGTGAAGACCGTGTTAGGATCTCCGAAGGGCTTCAGAAGTTGGACATGGAAGGCGTTGTGAATCTTCCATGGACTGTGACTGATACTGTTGGTTTCTGCGGCGTGAGCGGGTTGCGTCTATAATAGACGAAGAACGGCGTCTGTCTAGTAGCGGCGTGAGTGGCGTTGTTGTAGGCAAACTCCAGGATGGGTAGATGCAAGTCCCACTTAGAGATTTCGTCCTTGCATGCTGCGCGGAGGAGTTGCTCTACAATTTGGTTGGACGCTCGGTCTGTCCGTCTATCTGAGGATGGTAGGCGGATGACATGGCGAGTTTGGTCCCGAGGAGAGACATCAGTTCCTTCCAGAACTTGCTGGTGAACTTGGGGTCTTGGTCGGAGATGAGTGTGGTTGGAATGCCATGCTATGAGACGATGTAGCGAACGAATAGTTGTGCAGTCTCCTCGGTGCCTGCTGTTGTGAGAGTCGAGATGAAGTGTCCCATTTTGGAGAATTTGTCGATGACGACAAGGATTGCGTCATCACCGCTAGTGGTAGCTGGTATCCCGATGATGAAGTCCAGACTCACCACTTGCCATGGTTGCTTTGGGACAGGAAGAGGCTGTACCAGCCCTGCCTTTTCCTATTTGTTGCTCTTCATCCGTTGACATGTGTCGCACGAGGTGACGAATTTCTGTACGTCGTCTGCCATGTCGGGCCAGTATTGCTTTGCAATACCGGTGAGCGTCTTGTTGCTACCAAAGTGTCACGCGTATAGGATATCGTGGTATTCTTCGAGTAGTAACTGGCGCAAAGGAAGGTAATTGGGTACCCAGATTTTCGTTGATCCTTTCTGGTACGCGATGTCACTGTCCCACTGAAGCAGGTGTCGCTTTTCTGCCAAGGGAATTTCAGGGTCGATGGTGTACCTGTGTGTGAAGATTCCCTTGAGTAGTGGGTTCATCTCTTTGACCTGGATAGCAACGTGTGCAGGCCGGCAAGTCATCACATACATGCGGCAACCCACCAGCTCTACGTAAGGACCACTAGGCTCTACAGACTCCTCGGGGTCTGGAGCCGAGAGCCTGTGATCTACTGGCAGAGGTGTGGGCTGTGCGGAGGAGAACTGAAGACCGAACCTCTAAAGGACCTGGCGCACCAAGGCGTCTGGGTCCCCCTAAGAGATTAGAAGCATGGAGCAGAGATGAGGCGAGACCTCGGACATGAAAGCAAGCTCATATTGCCGGTCCTCCAGGATGTCACTGCCAAGGGTAGGAGCACCCTCGACGGACGGAGGATGGACAGGGTCAGCGACTAGAGCGGTGGCATACTCAAGACGGCGGGTAGAGGTGAAGTCAGCAACGGCAACGACAAGCGCGTCGAGACTCGAGACAGGAACAGACGGTTCGGTATCGAGGGAGGCAAGGACCCGAGGAACAAGAGGACTAGCAGCATAAAGGTAGTCAAACAGTAGAGGCGGAGCGACAACAAGCGACGACGGAGGAGGCGAGGGGAAGAGGGGAGGACGAGACGCGTGGGAACAGATCAACATAGGGTGAGAGCGCTGGACAGGAGAAACAGGACGAGCACGAGAGGGACGGCGAGACCAGAAGTGGGACGGCGGCGTCGGGTCACGAGACACAGGAGGAGACACAGGAGGAGCCACAGGAGGAGAACGAGGGGGGAAACAAGCCAAAGATGAGTCTGGCGGAGGAAACACATGGCCGTAGACAGGCAGGCAAGGCAGCGGCGGGGAAGGCGCAGGCGGGTGGTCAGGGGAGGGAAGGCCGAGGAGGCAAAGGACGGACACCGACGGCGACTGCTGCTGCTGCTGCTTCTCGCTGACACCAGAACCTCGAGCTACACCACGGCTACCTCCGAGACACGCCACACGAACACCCCCAGAGCGAGAACCCTCTACAACATTGGAGCCACCCCCAGAACCGCCGGGACGAGCCACGACAGTAACCCCAGGACTAGCACCCCCAAAACCAGCACCCCCAGAAATAGAACCCTCTCCAGCACCGGTGCCACCCCAGGACCGCCGAGACAAGCCATGACAGGAACCCTAGGACTAGCACCCTTCTCAACGCCCGCACCCCCAGAGCCCGCGGACGGCAGCTGCTGCTGCTGCGGCGGCAGCTGCCAGTGCGGCGGCGATGGCGGTGGCTGCTGCGACGGCGGAGGAGGAGACACGGGGGTGGAAACGAGCGGCGAGAACTACGTCGCAGGGCCACCAGATTCAGCCGACTCTTCGGCCAGGACAATCGACAAGAGGCAAGTGACGT